ATAGCACTCAGCATAGAGAAGATGGCTTGGACGGAGGGATGGTAACAGGCGCTGTGTTCGTAGACCTACCAGTGGCATACGATACAGTCAGCCAACAAAACCTGCTTGCCAGAGTCTACAACGCGCTGCCTGACCACCACGCAGGGTGGCTCATCCGATCTCTCCTGGAAAAAAGACTTTTCACGTAGAACTGTGTAAGAAACAGAGCCACTGGAGACAAGGGAATGGCCTCCCACAGGGCAGTGTGCTAGCACCACTCCTCTTCAACCTATATGCCAATGAGCAGCCCATGCAGATCAGTACGAGGAGCTTCACATATGCTGATGATCTATGCAGCACGTCCTAGGAGAAGGACTTCGCCACTGTCGAGAACAGACTCACACGTGCCCAGAGCAACCTTTCAGCTTATTACAGTTACAACCAACTTTACGCCAGCCTGACCAAGACACACGATGGCCTTTCACCTACGTCATCGAGAAGCCAAGCAGAAATTAAACATCACCTGGGATGGAATCCAACAGCACCAGACCGGTGGGCCAGGGGGCTATGTCCCCCCACTTTTTAACATGGGCAGAGTTTGGAGGAAGGGGGAAACACTGCCCCTCCCCCCAAACCGCAAGCCTCGGGCGGGCACGGAGCAGCGCTGGAAGGGGCTGCGCTTTGCAGCAGGGGAGCGATCTCAGCATTGCTCCACGCCTGCCCAAGGCTTGCAGTTGGGGGGGGGGGAGCAATGCCCCCAAACTATGCCCATATTAAAAAGGGGGGGAGATATAGGGGTCATAAACAGGTGTCAGCGGCCACACCCACCCTGCCCTGATCGCTAACTTGGAGTGGGGGTCCTGGCTAGATGTGGGTAGGGTTCCAGTGCAGTGCCAGCTGTGGACTGCTCACGGAGCTTCCTTCTGAGCAAGATACACACCAGATGGGCTCATCCCATCCTTCATTGCCCTGCCAGGTATGGCTGAGGTTAGCTTTAGTAAGAGGTATTTTACACACAGCGCCACCTAGTGGCAGAACAGTATCACACAGTTTGGCCTTCCATTACGGAAAAGCCTAACTACTGCTACTATAACGTAGCATATTGGGCCAGCTCTGTTTTTCCTCTTGGTCTCTTACTTTGCAGCCCTACCACGCTGTAAAGCCGTGTCTGATCTGACAAGCCAGGGCTCAGCATGGGATGATCCAAATGTACCTTTTCCAAAGCACAGCCCAGCGGGCCAGCATTTAGTTCTAACTGTGCAAGCAAAGAAAGAGAACACAAGTTACCAGCCTGAACACACTCCCTTCTGCATTGGCAAAGGGAGGAGTGCCCGAGTTCTCTGCAACTCTGAGCATTGAGGGGCTATTTTGCAAAGCTACAGAACTCCACAGCTTCCTTTCTTCCTTCATCTGCACTAGAGGAAGTGCAATGCACCAGAATAGACCCACTGGCCACCCTGTCTAGCTTCTGCTCTGATAATGGCTAATGCCAGATGCTTTGGAGGAAGGTGTAAAATCCTTGCAATTAGAAATGAGTCCAAGCTTTGGCATTTGGAACAGGTTCTGGACTCAGTCCCCCTCGAGACCACAACTGAGAATGAGGAAACACCCAATTGGGTCCCAATACCCATGTTTACAAACAGACATGACCTAGCTACATATATACCGATCCTATGTCAGGATCTGGTGGCTAATCTGCAGTAGAGACAGCCAAGCCCACTAGATATCCCTTTAAATAGCATAGGAGCCATCACTCAATTCCTACACTATAAGTCCCCTCTCTCTTTACAACATGTCTTACTGAATAAGACTGTCCCATGGTAGAGGGAATTGCTTCCCCATCTCAGCTGGTGAGCAGCTCATGCCCTGAAACTGTGCGGATTGAGGAATGTGTTAGAATTGCAAGCTATTGCTTTAAGAGTGGCGGAGGAAGGGGGGGCGACTGGCCAGCCTTGCAGGCTAAGGGGCTGTCTGAAAGTACATGATCAGAGTCAGTATTGGAAAAGGCCATCTTAAAGCAAGCTGAGCTGAGAGTTATGCCTCTCTGCCTTGGGGAGCAGCCTATTTTCATGCTCTCTGGTTTTGGATTCTTGCTCGTTATTCTGAATTCTAAGAAATGCTACGTTGCCAACTTCCAGCCAGAGTATTTATGTTGTTTTACAAATAATTTCTGTGTGCGCGCTATGAGCACTACAGCAACAGGATTGTGCCAAAACTGGTGATAAATTTGCAGCCCAATTTTGCACTGTTATTCTGGCTGCTCCATTTCAGGCAGTTTCACAGCCCACCATTTTCCATGACAAAACAGCTTTTTTCACACCAAAATCATGCCGCGTTTGGAATCTCAAAAGCCGCCTTTGGCGAGAAAGGGGCCCATTTCCACCCTGAAACGGGGTGATCACTCTGGAAGAGGGACAGGAAGCCAGTGAGCGGCTAACCCAGTCAAGGAAGGTAAAATAAACCCTGGATTACAGTTTAGCTCAAGGCACTTTCCTCCAAGCTGGCTTTATTAAACACAAAGATTCCAAACAAGAGCAGATCAGCTCAGAACACTGGGTCCCTATTCCCCCCACTCCTCCATCAAGAGTCAGGTCCCTGAAAAAAATCATGAGATTAGCATAAAAATCTCAAGAGTTGAAACAATAGGAAGTGTCAGGACCGGTTTCCCCTTGCCTTCTGAGCCTGGTCTGGGGCCATATTCTGAGGCTTTGCACCAAAACCAGGAGGGCTAGAAAGTTTAAACGAAAGCTGAGACCCTCAGTTAGTCAGTGGCCTGCAGGAGTGGAGATTTTAAGGAAAAGTGCCAAATAGCGCCAGACTCATGATGAGAGTCCACAGAGTGACTGATTTGCAGCAGCCAAAGCGTTTCTCTCATCCAAGAGCTGTCCCCATTGCCATGCCACCCCCAGCTGGAGGAGGTTAGAGCCGTCAATGATGTGATATACATAGAGAATCACAGGACCCCAGAGCACTTCACAGTCCTTTCGCCATAAAGCAAGGGCAGCTGCAATGGAAGTGCTGGCCTCCTGGCAATGTGCCTCCGTCCCAACCCGGAGGGGCCAAGCTCTCGGAGTGAATGCAGTCAGGATCCCAGTTCTCTGCTGGTGTTAACGGGCTCAGCTCCATTGGAATCAGTGCAGCTCCAGCCAGTTACAGCAGCAGTGAATGTGTTCGTTGCTCTCCAGCCCCTCCAGGTGTCAGGAGCAAATCTAGCTGTGTGGACACTGCGGCTCCTGCAGAGACATGCATTAGCCACCCGAGCGCAGGGCCGGCTCCAGGCACCAGGCACCCAAGCTGGTGCTTGGGGCGGCACCTGGAGGGGGGCAGCGGCGCAGCGCTCCGGCCCCCGGGGAGAGCGGGGCCACAGCAGGGCTCGCCGCCCTGCGCTCTGGCCGCCGGGGGGGGAGAGCCGAGCCCCAGCCGGGGCTCGCTGCCCTGCCCCCGGCGCTCTGGCCGCCAGAGGGGGAGAGCCGAGCCCCAGCTGGGGCTCCGGCCGCCCTCCCCCCCGGCGCCCTGCCCCCGGCGCTCTGGCCGCCGGGGGGGAGAGCCGAGTCCCCCCCGGGGCTCGGGCCGCCGGGGCCCGGGGCCCCGGCCGCCCCCCCCCCCGGCCCCCCTGCCCCCCCCCAGCGCGGGAAGCCTAGCTTGCGGCACACGTACATTACAAAGGCTCCGAGAGGGTAAATAACTGCGTAACAAGCAGCAGGGGAACATGGCCAAAGAGAAACAGGTACTATAGAAACCTGATCGCTTCCGCCTGCTCTTTCCACTGGGATACGCTCCCTTGGAAAGAGGTGTTTGCCCCTCATGTTTCGCCAAGAGGCTGGTGATCTGACTTTTTTTCCTAATGGGAAAATTCAATGGAAATTATCCTCCTCCCTAAAGCTCACTCATTTCCCAGCCACGGATTCTATGTCCCCATCTCCTCCTTGTACCATTTGTCTGCATTATTTGCCAGACAAAGAGATAATAGCAGCACCTTTCTCCTGGATTGCCTTTGTCTGACTCCCCCACATGCTGTGAATATCATTCAGAGGCCTTAATATTCCCCTCGCTCTCCAAATGCCCCTGAACAGCTGCTTCTGAGCCGCACTAATCACAAACTGCACACGGCTGAAGAATAACAGAGGGTTCCTAATAAGCTAGGCCACAGCTGGGTGCAAACATGCCCTTAACAAAGAGGCTCCAGGAGACACTACAGGGAAGCTGTTGGGTCACAGACTGACAAGAAATTTTCAGCACAGCTGTCTGCTCGGTTCAGACAAATAGCATATACATCAGGGACACTACAGTGCCTTCTGTTAATGTCTTTGTACATGGTGTTAATCAAGGAGTTTGCGGAGGGGGAGAGAAACCATCAGTAAAGGCTATTCTGTTCTATACATTTACATGTGCTCCACAAATACACTGTATATGCTTCCTCATCTGTAACCTTCTAATAGCTGTGCCCCTCCGTCTCTGCTCAAGGAGAATGCAATACTAAATGTTTAGCGTAGAGCCAAATTGGCGCAGAGACAGCGGGTTAAGTAACTCTAATGAATAGGAAGCTAACTCTTTTACAAGACAAGTGTTTGGCATTTCAGCTTCTCAGTATCTGTGCAATTCCAGGGAGAGCTGTTACAGTCTCTCTCCAGGAACTGGGCATATCAGCAGCCTTAATTATATTTGTGCAGTTTGGAAAGGGGATGAAATAAAAAAAAAATGTAAAGGTCTCCTCAAGAAAGAGAAATTAAAAATTAAGAAACTGATCAAGGAGGAGAAAGATCTTAACACATGAGAAAGTTGCCAGTTAATATCTTTTCATGTACGACAGCATCAATCTTCCTTGAAGAGGCAAAAATGAATCAAGACTAATCCCACCAAAGTGACTTTATATAGAGAGAAGATATAGATTGTTACACCAACAAGGCTATTCTCCGCATATCTCTTGTAAATGGCACACACTATTTATACATTTCAAGGTTGTCAGATCTGCCTATCAGGGAGTACAAGGATCTGTCAGGCAGTTGCTCTCTGGGACTTACCTTTTGGAGCTGTAATAATTCTAGGATTCACCCTTGAGTGCCCAGCTGTCAGGAGAAACAGGTGGCTGGTCCACAGAGCAAAGAGATAGGCAGCATGTGAGTTCAGACCCATTTCCACAGCTCTGCAAAGAGCTCAGCAGCTTACTTCTGTAAGAACAGTAGAGCATGCACTTCAGTGCAAACCTTTGAAAGTGGGTGTGTCTAGAGTGGTTACTCACTCTAGCCAATCAGAGTACAAGCAGGAAACAGGGTGGGGGCAAGGGTGGGAAACAGTTACCCCAGCTAGGGATAAGGGTTTATCAAAGCTTGGAAATTTACTAAATCAGCTACTCTGGAATAAGAGTCCACATGAAGAGTTATGGCAGGATTTCTGGTCTAGAATTTTTGTGGAATAAGAATTCCAGACTAGCTATTTCACTCCATTTCCAAGGGAAGATAAGCCCTGACTCACCATCCAAACCCTTTATGAAGGGAGGCGGGGGGAGTATGATGTTATCATTGACTGAATCCAGAACACCTGCTCCCTGTAGATGAAACAGGGAGTAGCGACTGCCCCACAGCAGATCCAATGGTCAATCCCCTCCAGCTCCATATAGCTGTTCTGAGGGAATGTGGTACTCTGCAAGCTGGAGGTGCCATGGAGGGGTCACTTTGTGCCTGTGGAGACGGATGGGGCAAATCCTCAGGGTTACAGAGATACTGCTGCCCCCTGCTTGCTTCTGCAGCATTGCAACCTCAAGCATTCAAGAACCATGCGTGCCTAAAAATCATGAGCTTCTAAATAGAATACATTGGGGGTAATTTTTTTCTTGGCTTTCTAGCCTTTGAGGGCCACCTTTACAAGCTTTCTTCTGCCACCATGAAGGATAGAAACTTACTTTAAAAAAAAAAAATGAAAGCTGAGATTCTGGTGTATTCCCCTAACTCTGGTGTGTAGGGCTTTTAACTCCAACTCGCACCAGGCTCACGGTAAGAATCACAAAAGTTGGCAATGGTCTGCCAGATGAAAGACAGCATAGCCTAGGGGGTAGAGCACTAGTCTAGGACTCAGAACTGGATTGTATTCCTGGCTCTGCCACTGGCCTGCTGGGTGACCTTGGGCAAGTCACTTTGCCTCTCCGTGGCTCAGTTTCCCGGTCTCTAAAACAGGCCTAGACTTGAGCCAACTGGCAGTCTAGGTACTTACCCAAACCAAGAAACCAATGGCATATTGCCCTACTTAACCTTGACACTGGAAAAAGAGATGATGACATTAAAATCCCTCCTGTACTTCCAATTTGATACATCTTTCTTCCCCTCCAATCCTATAATGTTGTGCCATGTTGCTGTTCACTTATAAACAGCTGTTATGTTCCACCCCAGAAGTGGTGGCATTTTTGTACTGGGTTCATTGATCCCTCTGCACATTGGGCCCAATTTTAATTTACCCCTCTGGCAGTGTGAGCCTTAAAGTGAGTGTAAATGTAATTCATGCCCACTTTAAGGCCCCTTTACATTATCAAGGCAGCGTGGAAGTACATGAAAGTCAGGTCCATCATTTATAAATCAGCAGCGTGGTATATATAAATGTCATTCCCTTTCTAGCCCCAGCAGCTGTTGATATGAGACTAAAAAATTTTTTGTACCTAAAATTTGGGCTGTACACACAAAAGAAACTATAAAGGAAATAATGTATGTCCTGAACTATCCTAGCTCTGGTTTTGTGCTGTGTGTTTATACAATTAGTGTATTATTTTTACAACATTGCAAAAGTCAGGACTATCTGAATGTGATTAGCATTGTATAAATTATATTAAAAAAATATGAAGATCTTGGTCAGCATTGTGCTTTATTGGTCCAATGGGTAAATCATGGTAAATTCAATTAACAGAGCAAACCATTTTCTAAGAAAAATGGCATTTCATTTAAACTAATATTCTAAAAGGGAAATTGAGTTAGCAGTCCAAAAGATACCATTATGGTCCCCTGAACTACCAGTTGGAAGGTATTTACATATGCTATCTAATTGGTTAACTTTGCACCAATCCTCAGCATTCTTGATACATTTAACTCTGGCCATGACAATGTTTAGTCAATGATGAGCTAGGATTCTCTCTCAGTTTATAATAAAAATAAACACAATCTATCCTTTGCATTAGCTGCATCCATGCATTTGATATCCAAGTGTTTTTATCCTGGCATTAAATTTGGCTCTGGACCACAGAATTTAGCTCCAATCCCTCCCAAGGGATCTTGTTTCAGGGCCTATTGAAGTCAGTTGCACTTGGTATAACAGGAAAAAACACTCTTCATTAAATCTATTTTAATTTCTGAGTTTATTCTGGAGTATACGGAAGAGACAATCATTTTATAAATAGCTTGAACTTCAGCCCAGCCCTCCAGCCAGTCACTGTCAAAATGCTTCCTCCAGACAGTTCCTTTTATTTCTAGGTGGCTGTTTTCATACATTCCCTGTGTGATGGTTCTTGGGTCATGAGTGCGGTAGTTGGGCCTTAGCTCCCTAACATTAGCAGCCTTTCAGCCATTCGAGCACTCTCCACCAGCCCTGTCTTTGCCTTACAGTTAACAAGAGGTGCACCCCAGTCCCCGAGGCCCTCTGAATCATCCCCCTCTGATATCCAGCCCCTGACATGGACTACTCACAGAAATCCCAGATCCTCTGCCCCCAGTTTTACTTTAAATCACTGCTCCCGTATAATGCACAGCACTTGTAATAAACGAAAGATGGCTGATTTAAGTAGGAAATAGAGATTTTACTAGAAAAAAGAGAAAATGGTGGAAACAAATGGTTACTATACAAAACAATCAAAAAAAAAATCACAAACTAGGGCCTACACTTATTACTAGTTACCTTTCCCGTCTAATAAAGAAGATTTTCCCCTAGGGAGCCCAGATAGCAAGTGTGAATATCAGGACAGGTTTTTTCCCCGACCGGGGGGAGGAAGATTTGGGTAGTAGTTGTGTATATAAGACAAAGCCCCTAATATTGAGTGGGTCCTGATAATATTGGGTCATCTGGTCACCCTATTTCCCCCCACCCCCAAAGGTCAGTCTGTTGCAGAGCTGGCAATCAAAGGACAGCAAAGAAAATGTAATTCATACAGGCAAAGAAAAATAACTTGTAAACACACAGAGCAGAAGGGAAACAGGCCAACCCTCGTGAGAAAAATGATCTTCACATGTTTTATAATTACATTTTATATCTGGGGGTAAAATCCAAGCTTTATTGTTCAGATTTTAGGATTCATTTGAGCAGCGAGGCTGGGCTATTTGGTTGTGCTAGGGTTCCCTTGAACTTACAGCAATAAAACGTGCTGGGGGGGCAGGTAAAAGATTTTCACAGACACAAATGGACTCGTTCCTCTCTGTGCCTCTGAAAATCTGATTTGCACTATGATTTCGGAGAGGAGATGATGCCTATTCTGGGTAATAAATCCCTGATCAGTAATCTGGATCTCTGTACGCAGTAGAGGTGCCTTACCTTTGTTTTATATTCCTCACTCCTGTGAGAGTTTAAGCTCTGGCTGTAGGAGTGGAGGGCCCCACTGAGTGATTCTGTTCCTGAACTGCATGCACATAGTCTAAGCAGAGAGTTAAGGTGTTATCCTATACTCCTCACTCAGGCTGTGTTTGAAGGGTCAATACCAGCTACATGAATAATACTAAGGCAAAATCCCCATTAGGTTAACAGGAGTTTTGGATGAATGGGTCTTTAATTATGCCCAAATACATTTGTTAGTCTCCAAGGTGCCACAAGTACTCGTTCTTTTTGCTGATACAGACTAACACGGATACCACTCTGAAACCTTTAAAATGTTGTTAGCCTCATAACTGGCAGGTTAGATCTGGGGACAAGGTAGAATTTTTCTACCAAAGTTGAAATGAGTTGGAGAAGGGGATCCTGAATCATGACACCCTGGGCTCCAGCAATCCCCAACTGGCAGAATGGCCACTGGATCCACAGGCAGCCGGGTATAGTATTGGGCATTTTTGGACACCATGGACCAGACCAGCTTACAGAGTTAGCCTGGACCAGGGAATTTAAAGTTGGTTTAAATTACCTTTACCCAGACTCACTCCAATTCTGTGCCCAGCACGGCTCGCTCAGACCAGAGAACTTTGAATGGAACCTGATCTGAATGTCAGAGCTCTGCGGTTATAAAAACACAAAATTAATTAATTGAATGCAGGAAGCAGAGCAATGCAATCTTTCTGAAGTGTTTTCATTTCTCATCAGATGCCCAAACCATAACTAGCTGAGCCAGATGCCGGATTTCCCACTTTATCGAGCAAGGGCTGAGGTAAACTAGAAATTAGGAAGATTTCAAATTGTTATTCATGGGTCAGGTGCCAGCCCTTCCCTTAAAAATTCCTGCAGCTTTGAAAGTCAATTTCAAGCAAGTATCAGACACCTCAGTGGCAGATTCTATGCAGTTTTGCCTGAATTGCAATATTCAGATGCGAAATCAGACTCAGATCGGAACCTCCCTGATGTACATTAAAGAATGACAAAGCATGGATTTTCCTTAATAAACATGTATTTTTATTTAATCACAGAAGGATGATTCCAAAGAACTAGCAATGATCAAAACCCAAACAGCTATCTCACTATTAGAAAACCAGCATTCTTCTCATTAACAGTCTCCATCTGGCCTTTTTCCAGACTGTAAACAAGCAGGACTCACCCCTGCAGCACCTCCTGCTGGTTGTCTCAGCAAATAGCTCTCCAGCCATCAGAATGCCCTCTGCAGGCCAGTGATCCACCTTACCACTGGCCCTAATCTCAGGGTCTCCCCTTCCAGGGGAACCCCCACCCCCTATCCCCACCTCACCTCAGTCTTGGCTACTGCCACTCACCACTTAGCCCCTAGTCACTGGGGCAGACTGCAGTGTATCAGCCACTCATCACAGGCAAGGGGGGTCTGGACCTGCTGCCTCTGCCTTGCCTACCCGTGGGCTGCCTCCTGCAACGCAAGTGCCCCATTGGCCTTACCCTAGGCCTGCAGCCTGGGGCTTTCCTAGGCCAGAGCTCCCCAGCTCCCTTGGCCTTTCCCCAGCCCTGCTCTACTCTAGGCACTTGGTTAAGCTCCCTGCAGTAGAGAGAGACTATTCAGCCTCTAGCTCACAG